GCGAGGATAAGGGTTTAGAGAGATAGCTTTCCTCAACAAGCTCAATAGGATCCCTCAATCCCTCACACAGTAATACAATGTAACCCAAAGTAAACAACAATATTCAAACACTGAATTCAGATAAAGGACAAGAAATGTTCTCCCCTTCAGAAAAGGTTTGTTGAGAACACGTTTGTGGGAACGATCCAGCTGCTCGTTATCTTCACCTACTACCGTTATCCTGCACCGACACTGAGCACTAACCAACAACACAGCTTATGCACCATGTTTGCAGGATGACGGATTTTCATTACGATGGCAGCAACATTTGTGTGACTTTAACTGAGAGACACAACTGTGGTCACGTCTATGAGGCCAGTGTGCAGTTTCTGGCTTTTACAGCGGAATGTGGAGAGAAAGGCAGCGTTTAAACTGAATATTTTTCACTTTTCCACTTACAGAACCACGATTGTACTTGGCCAATCAACATTCAACACAACCAATAAGTACAGTGTGTAAACACAAGGAGGAACCTACTAACAAAGCTTAACAAAAAGTTCCAGTAAAAGGGAAGTTGCAGGTTGTTGAGATCCTGCAGTGAATAACGGCTACATGTGAACCACATCCACCTCCTACGGGACCAATGTGATGACCAAAAGTGAATCACAACCTCTCCGTTTCCCCACCTGTTCAGGTAGAAGGAGAAGACGTTCTTCTCCACCTTCTTCTGGCTCATGATGTTGTCAAAGACTGGCGCCACCCCGTCCACAGAGATGCGTGGGTAGGCCATGCCGAGGATCCCGTCGAACTTGGCCGCGATGAAGGCCACGCCGGGCTGCTTGATGGCCTCTCCGAAGAGCTGCTTCTCCACTGAAATGTCCCCGATCTAGAAAAGCGAGGATCAAACACGAGTTAGAGAACTTCACTACAGTACAGAGACTACAGTCCAGGGTGCTGCTAGCGTGTGAGACAGGCTTACCGTGCACGTGTCCTGACTGAGGTAGCCCGACAAACTGCCGCTTCCATACTGGATGGCAAAGGCGGTGCCGTTCTTCACGTACGTGCTGGACTTGGCAGAGTTATATTTGTGGTGAAGCACTGTGAGGAAGAGGAGGAGAGAAAGACTTCAGCATTTTACCTAGACGACACTACGCTGCAGTACTGTGTCTGTGAGAACTACAGGAGGACTTACAGCATGCGATGTCCAAGATGGAGCAGTGAACGGACGGCACCCACAGGTTGGAGGAGCCGGTGTCAAATACCACAGTGAAGGTCTGAGGGGGGGTACCCAGGCCGATCTCACCGTAATACTGGGCCTGATGAAGAAAACAACAGGTTTATAATTATCAAGAACAACAACAACAAGGCTCTTTTTTTCTTCCCACAATTGGTGATAGAATTAACTGATAGGTCTTTTATTGACACATTTAACTCCAGTTTTATTCCTTATTTCTATTTTAAATGATGCAGGGTTTATGATGAAGTTACAGGTAGGTGGTCTGCGTTTATGGAGCACACCGCGTTAGTTTGTCTATTTACTGGCCTTTCCAGGATTAAAAGAGTCTTTAAGAACCCACCAGTAAATAACTTTAACTGAGAACTCACAAATCTGGAGCTGATCTCATGTTTACAGGAGAAGAGATTACGAAAAGGGGTCATTTCTGCCGACAGCAGAGAAACAAAGCAGGTCTAATGATTAAAAACAACATCGTCAACAAGGTCTGACAAAGCAAGTTAACACAATACGATCAGGCTGTTCTATTCTGGTTGCACAGCTGTCGGTGTCAGCGAATGTTAGCTGGGCGGCGGTCAAATAGTTACTGAGTCACGTCAATAAATCACTCGTTATTGTTTCAAAATTTACAGCGTGACACAACAAATGATGACTCCACAAAATCAGGAGCTGAAGCAAACTTCCGTTTCATGTGACTGAAAGCTGCTTGGGTCAAAACATCACGCTGTGAGAACTCCGCAGAGTCATTGAGGCCTGACCGGACTTCCTTTTTCTCAGCGAGATTTGAAAGCTGAATGTCTTTTTTTGATTTATTCTGTGATTGGTGGCTACTTTGGGTTGGTTTGCCCAAATTACAGAAATCAAAATATATTTCTATATATGTATGTCTAAAAATAAACTAAAAAATGAATGAAGTCGGGATAAACCAAAGTGTTGAAACTGCTGGAAGACTTATAAGAACTCCTGTTAAAAGATGAAATACCAGTGGAACAAAATTGGATCATCGCCCACAAACTTTCTGTTTAACAAAAGCAAGGACACATTCATGGATTTCGTGCACTTTTGTCAAACAACTGATTGAATTAAGGATGTTGGCACTTGTCAACAGTTGATCCAAAATCTTCAACCAGAAAGAAAAGTGTGCACGTGACTGTTTCTGCAACTACACTGCAAAGAAAGGAACCTCAAGAAAGTAAAACAAAAGTACTTGTTTCTAAGAAATGAGTCTTATTTTTGGTCTAAAAAAAGAATGATTATCTTGTCAGGCGTGTTTATTATTAGAAAAGTAATCTGGTTTTAATAAAATATATCTGACTTTGTCTCAATAAGAGATTACAGTTGATATTGAGCTCGATTTAACCAGTTCCCACAATGGTTGCATAATACCCCAGCAGAGGAACAAGATCACTTGCACAACTTCTCAGTTTAAGAGAAAGTCGTCTTGTCCCAGTGTTTAAAATGAAGCAGCTGTTTAGTTTGAATAAAATCATTTGAATAAAAATAATTATAAAATAAGAAGCTTCTGGTGTCTTCATTTAAGACAAAGTCACTTTATTCTGCCTTTTAAAACAAATTGTGTCTTAATGTGAGATTTTATTTTTCCTAATTATTAATCTTAGATTAAGGTTCAAATTCTTAAATTCAACTCAAAAGTCTTAAATAACTTTTTATTGCTTCTAATGAGCACAACTTGCTTAAATGTTTGTCATTTTTTAGAGTATTAAGGCTCATTTCAGTCAGTGGCTGATTTTTTTTTGCCCAATACAAGAAAATGTGATTATATTTAAGAATATTTGAGTTGTTTCTAAAAGAGCTGTTCTTGCAGAGTAACGTTTCTGGGAAGACAGCAGCTGTTTTTGAAGGTTATTTCACATAAACACATGAACATTTTTGATAAGGACCAACAAGTGAGACATTTTAAAGTGTCAAACTGAACTTGTCACAGCTCTCAGTAATAAATATAGTTTCTAAATGACCTCAAAGATCTTTGGTATTCCTTTGGCCTGCAGATATACTGATAAGAAGGAGCAACCGATAGCTAGAAAGAATATCATCAGATGTGTCTGACGTGAAAAACCTGAACCAGTGAAATGTTTTCATGCCCTTTCCCTCCCTCACAGTATTGAAAGGCTGACGTCATTACACTGCGGATAAAAGGTGATCGCCTAATACGTTGAGTAAACCGAGAGCAAACAAACACACTTTCTGTCAGCTGACGAGGACAAAGAGGCTTAAAGATCAGGTGGCGACAGCGAGTCAGCCGTCATGTGGTTCCTCTTCTGTCACCGTCTCATCTGTTAAAAGCTGATATTAGTCACATTAATTACATTATCACACATTATTAGTCTACAGCAGAATGAATCAGCAGCTCTAAAATCTGCAGAGGGGTCACTGGTTTCCATTCAGCCGGGAGGATTTACAGAAAACGGGCCGAGGCGGCCGCGACACAAGAGGACCTTTGTTGTCCCTCAGTTTGGCTTTTTAGCTTCTGAGCAGCACATTAGGGGAAGTAAAGACTTCAGGTCTTCGGTTTGGGGAGCGGTGCTTACGTCAAGGTAGTTCTTCAGGGTTTCTGGAGTGGGTTCATTACTGGCGGGGAAGCCAAAGTTGTACTTGAGGGAGTGCTTGTCGGCCAGAAGCTCCTCTACGCTCCTCCCCGAGTCTGTCAACTCCCGTCGGATGGAACGGAATTTCTTTAAGGGAATTCTGAATGGGAAGAAACAGGGAAATGAATCAATATGTAGCCTCAGAACAACAGCATTGTATTAAATATACTGAAGGACAAATGCAACGGAGCCTGCAGATAGTTTATAGAGTGTCTGTAACCCTTCCTCTGTCTGTGGGAATCAGATAAATCGTTGCATCTCAGCTAATAAGCTGTTGAGTTTTTATTGTAATATTCATCCAAATAAAGTGGAACCATCATTTACTTCACATATGAAACAACCGGTGGCCTCGCAGATAAGATCCGACCCACATACTCCACCCTTATCTTCACAGCCTGTTGCGAAATACTGCGAGTGCCTAATGCGTAATGCAGCGATGGTTGTGGTCAACACTCACACACTTTATATGGAAGCCTAAATAACAGGAACTTTATCTTTAATTCACAGCAGACTGTCACACGCCTCCAACAGTTAACACTACATTACACCTGCATGAGGGGATTTACTGCAGGGCAAGTGTAGCTAATGTAACTGAGTGTTTATATCCAACAATGTACACTTCATAAAGAGTCAACTAACTGTAATTAATGTGAAACTTGTTCTCTGAGTACTAGACCCTCGGCCATATTCCTCTGAAGCAGGATGTAGAAGACAGACACACGAGTTACCACACAGCGAGTGGAAGCTCCGCTCATATGTTCAGCACATGCCACAATAAGTGCAGTCACTAAAAATGTCTGAAACTCTTTATTTCAATATCCAGTCATTTCTTTTTCTCTCCCTTCGCCTTTAAAATGTCAGAAATGACGAGAAATGCACATTAGAAGATTCAAATACGGCACTTTTGACTGTTTCTGTGAGAACATGCAGGAGGTCAGCGACTGTGGACTCATGAGGACAGAGCGGCTTTACACTGGCCCTCTGCTGGAAACACAATAATACAGTCATCAGTTTATAGAAATACAATACTTAAGGACAACTGGGAGACACTTAAAAAGAGTATTTCTACTCTGCGGTTTATCTGAGAGGGAAATATTGTATTGATTTAACAGGTATAGTAAGATAAGATATTCCTTTATTGATCCCCTTAGGAGAAATTCA